CCGGCCTTAAGTCAACTTTTGAGTGAGATTTACCTCACTGCTCTAATTTAAAATTATAGTCTGCCTCCTTCCACTCCCTTTATCCACTTTATCCATCACCCCCTGCCATTTTTCTTTATTTTTACATAGCACTTACCTCTTATTAAGTACTATGTAATTTACTTGTTACATATATTGTTTTGTCTCTCACTAGAAGGTAAGCTCTGAAGAATCAGCTTTGTTCACTGATCCATCCTCAGCATCTTGTATTAGTGCCTAGCAAATAGTAGGCATTCAGTGAATATTTGTTGAATGAATTAATAAAATGAAAAATTATCAACCTTCAAGCAGGGCAGTTGTTTTCATTTTTACCCACCTTCTGTTTCTTGTCTACATTCACACATTCAAAATTTTAAAAACCTTTCCCCCTTAGAACATCAAACTTTTTTCACGTTTATGTCATCTTCATAATGCTGTATGGATGTACCATTGTATAGATGTACCATGATTTAATAAAAACCATTCCCCTAATTTTGGATATTTAAGTCAGTTTTTTTGTTTTGTTACCATAAAGGCCATCATAGTGAACATTTTCATGGATGTAGTTTTTAAATTTTAACATTATTTTCTGAGGGTAAATTTTCTTAGAATTTCTGAGTTAAATAATGTGAACATCTTGATAGCTATTGTCTTATGAAATAACTTTTGAATACAGAATTTGATAATTGTATTGATGTTTTCAGTTTAAGTGGTATATGACAAAGTGGATTAGGAAAGTTTTCATATACATAAAAGTATTCCCATATACTAATCATCCAAAATCAATAGTTGTCCAACCTTTGCCACATTTCCTTCATCTGAGAAATATAACTTTCTGTATTTTAAAGGGATCATATGATGTCAACAATACAGTATTCATGAAAAGATCCTTTTTTGCGTCTTTCTTTTAGCTAAATTCTGACTAGAGGGTCTTGTGTTTGAGGGAAAGGATTTAGGATTGACTTTGCCCTTTTAATTCCTGGAGAACTATTCTTGGATGAGGAAGGTGGTCCTCAGTTTGTTAACCCGATGAGTTAGAAAATTTTCATTTTAGAACTGTCAACTTGAATTCAGTCTGGACTGTATCAGGAATTTTCATTTTGTTTTCTTTTTAATCTTATGTTGATTTTTTTGTTGTTGAGATGGGATCTCGCTATGTTGCCCAGGTTGGACTTGAACTCCTGGGCTCAAGCGATCCTCCTCAGCCTCCTGAGTAGCTGGGACTATAGGCACGCACTACTCTGTGCCTGGCATTTGTGTTGATTTTAAATGACAGAATTTAACATTTTATGACCTATATTCATCTTTTTATATTTGCTTCTTTTATTGCTTTGGTAGTCAGTTATCCTTCCATTGTGATTAATAACTATTTACTGCATGCCAGTAGTGAGTTAATATTTTCACATATTTATTTTTCATAGGCACCTTGAGAGACAGGTATTTTTATCATTCCCTTTATAACAGCTGAGAGACAGATATAGAAGCAATTTATTAAGTAGTACATAGCTAGTAAGTATGGGGAACATGATTCAAAACCTAAGGTTGTCTAACCCTGCAGCCCATACTTTTCCCACTATTCTTTCTACAGTATCTACTGTGGGCTAGGACTGTGATAGGTGCCAGAGAAGAGCAAGACTTTATTAGTCCATGTCCTTGAGTTAACTAGAATTTATTTAAATCATTATGTTTTTAAAACATGCTTTAATGTGTGATAGGGCCAATTTTAGGGGTAGGTTCTTTTGGGAAAGTAGTTTCTTTCCTATTAATGGAAGGTTCCTTAAGTCATCCTAGTACAGGTTCTCATCTAGTACTCATCTAGTTTCATGTACAGTGTAACTGCTGATGCCTGGTTGTTTTTAGATTTTTGGATTGTATTCCTTTGCCATAATTGTTGAAAGTAACCAATCGTTTGGATCTGGGAAAAGCCAGAGTACCAAAGGTGATTAATGACATATAAGTCATCAGAAAAGTGACTGCAGTCTTAGCTCTGAATTGTATTTGACAGTCCACTTTTTTTTAGGGTGCAAAAATGCAGAGCAATAAAACTTTTAACTTGGAGAAGCAAAACCATACTCCAAGGAAGCATCATCAGCATCACCACCAGCAGCACCACCAGCAGCAACAGCAGCAACCACCACCACCACCAATACCTGCAAATGGACAACAGGCCAGCAGCCAAAGTGGGTAGATGCTAGGTGATGGGGTAGAGATAGGTTCCCTCTTGGGAATGGTTTCTTCATTTTTAGATTAGAGTTTTGGGATTATAAGTGAATAGACCTTTATGGCACACATTTGTTCTTTTCCCTGTTTACCTCTTAATACCTCTTACAATGGAAAAAAGCTGATTCCCTGAAACCAAGGAACAGACACGTATAACAGCATTTGAGTACAGGTTGATCTGCTGTGTTGGCACATTCTACTGCTAAACAGATGTCTACATATTTTACCTCTGCTTGGTTCTTAAAGGTAGTCATCAGATGACTAATAGTTAAAGAGAATACAGAACAAGTCTTTGAGGCTTAACGGAGAAGTTGTACTGAGTATTATACTTTCAGCTTAGGGCCTGTACCAACCCATTTTTAATCAGAGTAGAAAGTCTTTAAATGTATGTTCTCATTCATTCAGTAAACTTTGAGTACCTATTGTGTACCTGTAAGTCTAGAACCAATCTCAACTCCTTATTTCCAGAGGTTCCTACAAAGAATATTCTTTCCTAACTCATTTCCCAAGCATGAAAGGATGGGAACTGTTAAGGTTATGAAGATTAGTGAGAGATTAGGAAAATGGAGCAATTATGTTTTAAATTCTAAAATCCATCCGATCCTTTGTAACATAAGGCTCCTTGAATTGCTTAATTTTCTCTTTGGCCAATAGCTCCTAAATTGTCTTTTTCTCTGATTTAGTCCAGCTTGGCTTCTGGCCCATAGTAGAGCTGTTGAGATGTCCCCCCAGATCTCTGCATATTGCTTTCACATTATAAGGTACAATTTACTGATAAATGGTTAGTGGATAGGTTCCATTGGGAAATAGTGTTTGCCTTCTCTACAGCAATTATGTTTCCTAAATCTAGGAGCAATTAGAGCTCTTTGAGGATGTGACTGTAATTCTCTTTCCCCTATCTTTTGAGTGACTGAGTGTCTTCTCTCAGATGAAGGCTTGACTATTGACCTGAAGAATTTTAGGAAACCAGGAGAGAAGACCTTCACCCAACGAAGCCGCCTATTTGTGGGCAATCTTCCTCCTGACATCACTGAGGAGGAAATGAGGAAACTATTTGAGAAATATGGGAAGGCAGGTGAAGTCTTCATCCATAAGGACAAAGGATTCGGCTTTATCCGCTTGGTGAGCAGCTGTTGGCTTTGGGGCATGTGTTCTAAAAGGTGGGGAAATGGGGATGATGGATATAGAAAAGTAGGCTGTGGGAATAATTCTTAGATGGTCTATTTGTTAAAAGCTTGTAGTTGATGAAACAGGATAAAAAATACAGCTTTTTATTTTTCCTCATAGGTTGCTTTATTTTAAGGACAACATAAGTTTATTTGTCTAGGATGCTGGGGCTAAAGTATGCCCTTTGGAACTTTTTTGTTTTAATTGGGAAATTTCAAATATACAGAAGTAAACAGAATAATATAATGAACTTTCACATGTTTTGCCCAGCTTCAATAATTATCAACTCATGGTTAATTCTGTTTTATCTATACCCTTCCCCTATTTGCTTCCCCCATAAGTATTTTAGTAAGTTGATGTTTTTTTCCCAGAAAATATGAAAAAAATTTTTAGCAGTGATCAAGGTTTATATTATTTATTTATTAATTTTTTTTTTGAGACAGAGTCTTGCTGTGTTGCCCGGGCTAGAGTGCCGTGGCGTCAGCCTAGCTCACAGCAACCTCAGACTCCTGGGCTCAAGCGATCCTTCTGCCTCAGCCTCCCAAGTAGCTGGGACTATAGGCATGTGCCACCATGCCCGGCTAATTTTTATATATATATACATGTATTTAGTTGTCCAGATCATTTCTTTCTGTTTTTTAGTAGAGACGGGGTCTCGCTCTTGCTCAGGCTGGTCTCGAACTCCTGACCTCGAGCGATCCACCCGCCTTGGCCTCCCAGAGAGCTAGGATTACAGGCGTGAGCCACTGCGCTTGGCCTAGAGCTTATTTTTAAATCTAGTTTGTTTTAGGGAAAGTAGATGAAAAGAAAACATTTCTAGGTATTATCTACCTCCATAAATGAGCATAATGTGACAGCAAGATCTCATTCTGATCTGCTACTTAACTTGAGACTACGGGTGAGTCATTTTCCCTGGGTGTCACATTCCTCTTTAGTAATATGAAGGGGGTCCCATCAAGGTCCGTGGTTCCAAACAGGCCTCTTGGAGAGGACATAAGTGATTCTGGTATGGAGCTAGCAAAAATTAAAATATTCTGGGTGCTGTATCGTAAGGGTAGATTTTAGGGTGGTGTTTGTTTTGTGGATGATCTGTTACTACTTGGGAGAATAACTTACGCAGTTGATGACCACGTAAGTGGTATTAGCTCCTAGAATTATGTCTGATGTATTGCAAGGCCATCAGAATAATTAATTAAGGTAACCAGAGTTACCTGAAACACAGTTCAGTTCTTCTTGTTTGATCCATGTTTCTTTGTGTGCTTGTTGCCAAGTATTTTTATGGAGACATTTTGTTATTGAGCTATGTTACTTTAGACTATAGATGGCTGCTCGGGCAGTCTTTGTCAAACTGAGTTATTCTAATTTTCCTCTGCTTTCTAGGAAACACGAACCCTAGCGGAGATTGCCAAAGTGGAGCTGGACAATATGCCACTCCGTGGAAAGCAGCTGCGTGTGCGCTTTGCCTGCCATAGTGCATCCCTTACGGTCCGAAACCTTCCTCAGTACGTGTCCAACGAGCTGCTGGAAGAAGCGTTTTCTGTGTTTGGACAGGTGGAGAGGGCTGTAGTCATTGTGGATGATCGAGGAAGGCCCTCAGGAAAAGGCATTGTTGAATTCTCAGGGAAGCCAGCTGCTCGCAAAGCTCTGGACAGATGCAGTGAAGGCTCCTTCCTGTTAACCACGTAAGTGAGGGGTCAATTTAATGAGTGTTAAGACTCCTTTTACTTGGAGGTTTTAGAACTCTGAAAAGTTGTTTTGTGCATGCAATATCTTTTACCTCCAAGTTGTTTCCTGGAGTTCTGTAGATATCAGATATTTAGGCTGTACTTAAATACTTTACCTACCTACTGTGAACACCTTTATGAAGCTGTATTCAGAAATCTGAAGCCTGACTCCATCCTGATTATCAACCCCAAATTCTCCATAAAGGCCTTGGTTACTTGGGGCTAGGTATTAGAATTCCCTCAGAAGTATATTTAATTGTCCAATCCTGACCCCTAACGAGTTCATTGTGCCAGTGGCAAATGTAGAGGAAGCCTGGTGCAGAGTATGAGTTTTTTTTTTTTTTTTGAGACAGAGTCTCACTGTGTTGCCCAGGCTAGAGTGCCGTGGCGTTAGCCTAGCTCACAGCAACCTCAAACTCCTGGGCTCAAGCGATCCTCCTGCCTCAGCCTCCTGAGTAGCTGGGACTATAGGCATGTGCCACCATGCCCGGCTAATTTTTTCTATATATTTTTAGTTGTCTGATTAATTTCTTTCTATTTTTAGTAGAGACGGGGTCTCGCTCTTGCTCAGGCTGGTTTCGAACTCCTGAGCTCAAACAATCTGCCCGCCTCGGCCTCCCAGAGAGCTAGGATTACAGGCGTGAGCCACTGCGCCCGGCCAAGAGTATGATTTAATTAATGCTGAGCTTACTTCTTTCTCCCAGATTTCCTCGTCCTGTGACTGTGGAGCCCATGGACCAGTTAGATGATGAAGAGGGGCTTCCAGAAAAGCTGGTTATAAAGAACCAGCAATTTCACAAGTATGTGATCCTGATAGATTCCCTGTTAAGTGTTTGCTTCTGAAGGAAGCTTGCAAAAGGGTTGTCTAAAAGAGGCAGGTCTTTGCTGAATGTGTTCACTGTCAGCCATTATCTTGGCCCTCAGAAATAGTGTCATGCTTAGTTGGGGTTATCTTAGGCAAAGTTCATAACCTAGGAACCTTGTTTATAGGGAGCGAGAGCAGCCACCCAGATTTGCACAGCCTGGCTCCTTTGAGTATGAATATGCCATGCGCTGGAAGGCACTCATTGAAATGGAGAAGCAGCAGCAGGACCAAGTGGACCGTAACATCAAGGAGGCTCGTGAGAAGCTAGAGATGGAGATGGAGGCTGCTCGCCATGAGCACCAGGTCATGCTAATGAGACAGGGTGAGTATCGGCTTGTAGGTCTTGTGAACTAAAATAAAATCTTAAGTCTCATCCCCGCACCGGCTGACTGAATGGACCCCCTCGTGGCCAAAGGAGTATCCTAAAACTAAGTTGCCTGCCAAGAGGAGGGAGGTCAGACATGCCTCATCATGCCTCCCTTCCTTCTTGGGGGCATCCTTTGTAACCCATTAATCAAGACAAACCTCTGGGTCCTCAATTTACACAACAAATATATGTCCCAGTGGCTTATCTCTGATAAAAAGCTCCTATGTTAAAACATTCCAGCCTTTAGACAAAGCTTCCTGTATTTAACCAATTACAAGTCAAAGAATCTTTAAACCCACCTATAACCTGTAAGCCCCCACTTCGAGATGGCCCACCTTTTCGGGCCAAACCAATGCATGCTTCCCACGTATTGATTTATGACTTTCCCTGTAACCCCTGTCTCCCTGAAATGTATAAAACCAAACTGTAACCCAGCCACAGCGAGTCCACTTGCTCAAGGCTTCTTGGGCGTGGCTCTGGGTCATGGTCCTCAAATTTGGTTCTGAGTAAATCTCTTTAAAATTATTTTACAGAGTTTGGGTTTTTTTCCCATTAATAGTCTTAAAGCTAGAATAAGGACAAAATGGCTTTTTTCAGGAGTTTCTTTGTATCAATTAGTAGAAAGGCCTAAATCTCTGCTTTTATTCTTTCAAATATTTTGTTGATCTTGGTAGGTAAATAGGTTTGGAGATGTAGCAGAGAATATTGTTAGGGTGGAAAGCAGAAGGGGGAGCAGCTTCAAGACTGAAGCATACGATAGCAATGTTATCTATGGGGGGAAAAAAAAAGACTGAAGCAGCTCCCTGTCCAGAGGTAGAAAAAAGTGAGAGAATGAGATAGTCCCTCATGGTGGGGGGGGGGTGGAGTTCTCCCCATATGGAGGCAAAGAAAAGTCCCCTTGCGGGCCACCAAATGTTAGGGTGGAAAACCTAGTAGGTGTTCTCGGCGCAGGTGGAGAAAGATTTCTCACACAGAAATTAAGATGTGAAAGTAAAAGAATTACTTTGATCCTTTTAGAGGAGGGAGCGGGGAGACAGAGTGAAAAAGGGCGAGGAGAGAAAGAGAGCAGGGAGATTGCATGGCATCCCAAAGAAAGAGAAGGGAGATGCCAGTTTATGGGGACAAAGAGGAAAAAATAGTAATTGTTGTGGAGTAATTAGCAGGCAGCTGCCAGAAGTCAAGTCTGTCTGGTTTTCTGTTCCTGGAGACTTGGTTATCTCTGAAATGTAGTCAGGCTTATTCTCAGGGGATGCAATTTAGCCCCTGAGTTATGGTTTGGGGCAGGAAACTGAGGCCTCGAGTTTGCCTCCCTGCTGTCAGTCCAGGTGCTTCTCGGGAACACCTTGAGGGTGTAAAACAAATTTTAAAAGCAGTTTCTGGCAAATTTACATTTCCTTTCTGTCTTTTGGTTTTTAAGTTTGTGAAAACAAAGTCTCTGCAGGGTACCTGCTAGCTTGGGGGAGAAATAGCGGAGAGAGTAAGGAGAGCTCATGATTATCTTTAGATATTATTAGGAAACTGCATGATTAGATATTTTCCTATTATTTCTGCAAGGCCCGTCTTTCAAATGTTGATTCTGTAGAGAAGGAAATGGTAGGTTTGGCTTCAATTTTGGAAGCTGGACATCTTGGAAGGCTCCTCAGGGATTATATCCTCTGTGTCTTTTTTTATGGAAGGTTATTGGGTCTGTATGAAGAGAATGAGGAATATTTTCAATCAGTCTGTTGTTTTTCTAGATTTGATGAGGCGCCAAGAAGAACTTCGGAGGATGGAAGAGCTGCACAACCAAGAGGTGCAAAAACGAAAGCAACTGGAGCTCAGGTAACTTCTTTTCTTGAACCCTCTTCTTCTGACAACTCTAAAAGGTAATGTCTTGCTCCTATTTCTTACCCCACTATGCTACCTCATGCATTTGTAAATATGTTGGCAAGTATTTCCTGGCTGCTTCTCAGGTTCTCCTTTTGGATAGGGGATGTATTAGCTACCTGTGGTTCTAGGAATTAACCTGGGGCTGCACTAAAGAGAAAGCCTCTGAGTGCTGATCTCTTTAAGTTCCTTTGGGAGTTGCCTTAGGGCTGGGAGTTTCCTGGTGTGCTGTGATAGTTTTCAGTAGGCTGGTCTCCTTGACTGAGTCCCCTTTTAAGATAATCTGCTCAAGTTCTAGAATGCCTCTGTCTTAAATACCATGGTGACTCTATAGGCAGGAGGAGGAACGCCGGCGCCGTGAGGAAGAGATGCGGCGGCAACAGGAAGAAATGATGCGGCGACAGCAGGAAGGATTCAAGGGAACCTTCCCTGATGCGGTATATCTCCCATGTGCCCATAATGTACCAGGCCAATTGTGATATGACAAACCCACCATGAATTGTCTGCTAGTACACCAGGTTATGACCAATTTTTCTGTGCTGTGAAATTCCTTTTAGAAAAAAGAATTCATAGGAAGGAGGGATAAGGTGGGGAGCTCTTCTCACCTCGCAGGCAACTTAGGATGAAAAAGCTGGGGCACTGTGCTGTTAAGACTCAGTGACTATAGGATGAGATATATTGAGTCCTGTAGCAGCCTTGGCTAGTCTGCTGTCTTTGCGGTTGTACAAGTTAGAACCCTAGAAGAAATCAAATATCTTTCCCCCTTTCACCTCTCTTTCTGTTCTTAGTACTCTGGCTTGTGTCCTAGTAGCTCTGTGACCTTGAACTTGAGCTGTTGGTGTTCCTCAGCTTAGTCTCAGTGCTCTTGGGATATATAATCACTCTGCTTCCCATCGTGCGTGGTCCTCAATGGATTGTGGTAAAATACACTGCTGTCTTGGACTGTCTTGAGTATTTTTTATTTTTCAGAGAGAGCAGGAGATACGGATGGGCCAGATGGCTATGGGAGGTAAGGACTTACAGGGTTAATGGCTCTGATTCCCTTTTTTGTCTGGTCTCTGGTGAACTGTGTAGCTTCTTCTACCTAGTCCAAATTTAAGGGACTGACATTTCCAGGAGCATTGTTTTTAGTGGGTGACATACATGTCTTAGCCTAGAGGTCTTGTTGAATTGTTTTATTTGGCATAGAAAGAGACTAACAATCTCCATCCCCTGTACTGACCATATTCCTCTGCTGTAGGTGCTATGGGCATAAACAATAGAGGTGCCATGCCCCCTGCTCCTGTGCCAGCTGGTACCCCAGCTCCTCCAGGACCTGCCACTATGATGCCGGATGGAACTTTGGGATTGGTAATTAGCTTCAGGGCCTTACAGTAATTCTAAATGGTGGGGGGAAGAGAATGGGATTTGCTTTCACAGCCCTTGGGCCTACCTCAGTTTTGCTACAGATCTCAGTCTTTAGGACTACTAATATCCATTAAATGTAACCTCAAGATCTTTATTTTTGAATCTTGAGCAAACTCAGTCTCTAACTATACTTTAGGGGTTAAGCAAATGCGTCTGTCTGACGAGCCAGTCTGATTGACTGTTAAGTTGCTACCTTGGTAGCAACAGGTTGGTTTTTTGAAGGAAGTCAATGAAGTCTAGGCATTATCACATAAAAAATAGATGTTAATCCAAAGGCTTCGTGGCTCTTAACAGTCCTGGGGTGGTTTTGGTTCTTTTGTCGAAATGGATAGTACTAAAACTGGATGGGATTAAGGTTGCTGAAGAGTCATGGCCTGCCCTTGTCCAGATACCTAGCTCAGGAAAAAGGACTTGGCTAGAACTTATCCAAAGTAGGAATTTAGTACTGTATGTGACGTTGCTTAGTCAGTAGTGAAGAATAAAAAGTTAAAGGTAGGATGATTGGGTAAGTCCCTGATTCAGATAACCTTCCTTTCGGGTTGTCCACTGGAATTCTTAAGACTTGCTCACCTACCCCTAGCATCAGGAGCCTTGAATAGTTGGGTAGAAACTGTTGTCCCCAGTGGAGGGAATACAGATGGGTGGGAAGCTTAGAACAAATGTTCTGTTATAATGTTGCTCTCTTTTTCTCTTTAAGACCCCACCAACAACTGAACGCTTTGGCCAAGCTGCTACAATGGAAGGAATTGGGGCAATTGGTGGAACTCCTCCTGCATTCAACCGTGCAGCTCCTGGAGCTGAATTTGCTCCAAACAAACGTCGCCGATACTAATAAAGTTGCAGTGTCTAGTTTCTCAAAACCCTTAAAAGAAGGACCCTTTTGGGACTAGCCAGAATTCTACCCTGGAAAAGTGTTAGGGATTCCTCCTAATAGTTAGGTCTACCCTGCCTGTACTACTCTAGGGAGTATGCTGGAGGCAGAGGGCAAGGGAGGGGTGGTATTTAACAAATCAGTTCTGTGTGGTATGTTGTTTAACTAATCAGTTCTATGTGGTGCATTCCTGAAGTCTCAAATGTGATTGTTGAGGGCCTGGGGGAACCATGGCAAAATGGATCCAGTTAGAGCCCCATTAATCTTGATCATTCCATTTTTTGTCCATCCTGTTTTGTTTTCTTATCCTTACACCCCCATCCCAGAGACACTGCCACATAACACCACAAAATCCCCCAATGACCTTAGCCCCATTGCTCCATTTACTCCCAGGCGAGAATTCAGGCAAATGTCCACAGAGGTCACAGACAACGTACATACGGTTCTGTTATATCCCATATATTACCCTTCATGTCTTTAAGGAAGACATTTTCTCTTAGAGATTTTCATTTTAGTATATCTTTAAAGAAAAAAATCTTGTGTTAACTTGCCTCCATCCTTTTCTTGGGTAAAGATGACCCAGGAATGGCCCTTTTGTGTCTATGATGTTGCTGTTCACAGCTTTTCTTGATAGGCCTAGTACAGTCTTGGGAACAGGGTTGCTGTATGCTGAAAGTCTGACAGTAGCTCTTAGCCTTGCCTATCTTAGGTAGTTATGCTGTGCATTTTTTATTGGTGTACCATGTTTGATTTGTCCCTGATACCTTAAATTTGGAGTTTTTCTGAGAAATGGAGCAGTAATGCAGCATCTACTTATTAAAATACATTTTAAGCCTTTTAATTTTCTGTGCTGTTTTTGGAGGGAAAAGAAGGGAGGGGAGTTCTTAGGAGATGAGCAGTAGGCTCTATAAGGGTAATCCTTTATGATTGATTAAAGTATTAACTAGGCAAACATAGGAGGTGGGGGTGAGATGCATACTATGGCTGAAGTGGTTGGCAAGGATCAGTGCTGTTGACATTACATGGAAGTAATGAGGATGGAGGAAAGCTTTTCCTTTGAAAAGAAGACGGGTTCAACCTTAATTGAGCTGGGGGGAGGGGTCTCAAAGTTGGTATTCCTTTCTGAGCAGCTGCTGGTATGTCAGAGGCTTGGAATTGGCATGGTGAATCTAAAACTGTCTCAGCAGTGGTGAGCTGACCTCACCCAAGTTCCAAGCCCTACTCTGCCTGATCCTTCTTCCCTCAGCCTCAGAGCTAAAATGCTCATGAGCTTTTTCCTATTGGCTGGGAAGACCAGTTGAAGTTCCCTTGCCCATGTTAGGAGGTGTACGCCTCCTGAACTAAAGATAGAAACAGCTGGCCCTTCCAAGGCAGCTAAAAGCCTCCAGACTAATAGGTGTTCCCCACTCGGCAGCCAGACTCCTTGAAATACCCTTTTAGTAATTTTACAAACGCTTCCATGTCTCTACTCTGCCATAACAAAGGCTGTGGGCAGCACTTTGACCCCAATACCAATCTTCCTGGTGAGTAAATCCTGACGGAGCCAAGGGCTATGTGGGTGGTGGTGGGTGGTCAGCTGTGAGGTAGTCTGTTTAAGGACCAGGGAAAGAAACTTCGTGTACCTGCCCTAGTTTAATTAGTCTGTGTGATCTTTAACCTTTGCTGATTTTTTTTTTTTTTTTTTTACATTTTATGGCAAGAAACCATAAACATAAACCTGGGGAAGAGGCGAGAAATGGTATTTGGAATGGTTATCTTTCTTTCCTTCTTTCCTTGATACTTCTGGTATCCATAGATTCCTGTTGCCATCACCCTGGGGTCCCAATCTTCCACGATGCACTTAAGGTGAGGAGTAGGTGAAGGGGATAGCAAGAGCATTTCCCAAAGGAGATATACCCAGGAAGCTAAGCTGATCTGGGTCTCTTGTTATCAGGGCTGGTCCTGCTGCCGAAAGCGAACTGTAGATTTCTCTGAGTTCTTAAACATCAAGGTAAATCCTTTACTTCCTTGGATTCTGCCCCAATAGAAGGATTCTGTTCCTAATCTTTATTTCCTTATCTGTACTAGGGCTGTACTATGGGACCACACTGTGCTGAGAAGCTTCCTGAGGCCCCTCAACCTGAGGGCCCTGTTACGAGCAGTTCACTTCAGGAGCAAAAACCTCTGAACATGATTCCAAAGTCAGCAGAGACCTTGCGCCGGGAGAGGCCCAAGTAAAGAGGAGGCCCCTAGGTTTTCCCTACTTTCATGCAGCTTCCTAGGAGTGATTAATGGGTCACTGGGGTTTGGGAACTAGGGACCAGAGATGTGAGGAGGGCCAGGTGTTCAGGCTTTGAATGTTGTATATCCTGTGCATCAGGGGAAGTTTGTGTCTGGAAATAATGTCCTTTGCTCTAAAGTGGTATGGGATGCTGGAATAGATACTTGAATCAACAGAATAGATGGCCCCTCACAAATACATACTTCGGGTATAACACAAGGGGGATTGTTGAGAATGACTTGATTTTATTTCTTTCTGGGAAAGACCTTTAAGGTAAATCTTATATTAAGAAAAGGATGTAGGCTGGGCACGGTGGCTCACGCCTGTAAATCCTAGCACTCTGGGAGGCTGAGGCGGGTGGACTGTTTGAGCTCAGAAGTTAGAAACCAGCCTGAGCAAGAGCGAGACCCCGTCTCTACTAAAAATAGAAAGAAATTAATCGGACAACTAAAAATATATAGAAAAAATTAGCCGGGCATGGTGGCGCATGCCTGTAGTTCCAGCTACTCGGGAGGCTGAGGCACTTGAGCCCAGGAGTTTGAGGTTGCTGTGAGCTAGGCTGACACCACGGCACTCTAGCCCAGGCAACACAGTGAGACTCTGTCTCAAAAAAAAAGAAAGAAAAGGATGTATTATTGGCAGCCAGGAGGCTGCAGAGAATAAATTTTGTGGGAATAATATGAGCAGCAGAAGAAAGTCATATTAGGTCCACAGTTAGATAAACAGGAAGAAGAAATGACACAGTTCTGCAGAGAAATGTGGTTAGATTTAGAGCAACTGAGTAGAAGTGCAAGAAGCAATGACAATTTCCCCCAGGGGTCAGGAATTTGGGATGTCCATAGAGATGAAAATTGGCAATGGGGTTGCTACCCAAATTCTCCAACCTTGCCTCACTTTCACCAGACTTCAACTCCATTACCATGGGTGGGAGTGCTGGAGTAGAAATCATGATTAATAATAGGTCAGAACTAAATCAACTGCCCATAACCCCTAGGTCAGAGTTGCCTCCGAAGCTGCTGCCACTAAACATATCCCAAGCCCTGGAAATGACATTGGAACAGAAGGAACTAGACCAGGAACCTGGGGCAGGTAGGTGGGTCTTTAGTAGGACAGGCTTACAGACTGGAATTTAGTAGAAGTGGCAATTGGGTAGGGGTGATGGATAGGTTCCTGACTCTGTTTCCCTTGCCCAGGACTTGACAGTAGTCTGATCCGGACTGGTTCCAGCTGCCAGAACCCAGGATGTGATGCTGTGAGTGAGAATTTTGAGGGGCTGAAACATGTGGATGAGCGATGCTACACATGAGAGATGACTGAGTATAGATAGGAGGCTGGGTGGGGTATACCTTAGAATTACCTGATTATTTTTCTGATTCTCCTTTATCCTTCTTAGGTTTACCAAGGCCCTGAGAGTGATGCTACTCCATGTACCTACCACCCAGGAGCACCTCGATTCCATGAGGGGTGAGGGAGGGGACTGAGTGGGCTGTGAAATGGGTTTCTCCCAATATTGGTCACAAGATGGGAGTGGGGGGGTTGTGGGGGGAGGGAATTCAGTTGAATTATCTTCCTTACCTCAGGATGAAATCTTGGAGCTGTTGTGGTATCCAGACCCTGGATTTTGGGGCATTCCTGGCACAGCCAGGATGCAGAGTTGGTAGACATGACTGGGGGAAGCAGGTAAGCCCCAACTTACCTGAATTATTGATTAGAACCCAATCTTAGAGATCAATTCTCCCTGTACCTCATGGCCAAGCTCCCTACATTCTCTCCTTAGTACAGGCCAAATAAGATTCTGCTCCTTGTCTCTCAACAGTCTGGAGCTTTGCAATATGAAGTAGTGTGTTAATAATCTTTCTGAGACTCTCTGTCTCCTCTGCACATATACCATGAGAATTCCCCTTGGGTTAAGAGTTTATTCTTACCACCTGCATTTCACATCTTCTCTTCAGCTGCCAACATCTTGCCGCCATGATTGGCACCAGACAGATTCATTAGTAGTGGTGACTGTATATGGCCAGATTCCACTTCCTGCATTCAACTGGGTGAAGGCCAGTCAAACTGAGGTGAGGAATGATCTGATGCTGGATGGGAGGATAGTGAATTGGGTGATATTATAATTGTACAGGCACAGTTGTTGTATGCAGTTAACCTGTAGGCTCCCTAGTCCCCTAAGAGGTAGAGAGAACTAGCTGTTAAGTCAGGGTTATCTGGCTGGCCTGTGCATCACACCTCTGACCTGCTTCTCTGTCATGACTTGTTCTGACCTTCTGGGATTGTTACTACTCCTGTAATTCTTTTCTCTCAGCTTCATATCCACATTGTCTTTGATGGTAACCGTGTGTTCCAAGCACAGATGAAGCTCTGGGGGGTAAGTGAATAGAAAGGGGGACAGGAGGGGGAGGCAGATGGGATGAAAGAAGGGCCAGACTGGAATGAATAGAGGGTGTCTTGAGGGAAAGAGTTATAGTGGGAAAGTGGAGGTTTTCTCTTCATTTGCTTTCATGTTCTTTCTCTCCCTCTCCCTCTCTCCTCCTCCCCTTCCCTCTGCCCTCTCCCACTCTCATTTCTTTTCTCTCTCTCCCCCTTATTATATTGTCTTATTCCTCCCTTATCTTTTTTCCTACCTTAAATTTTAAAATTTTTCTCTCTCATTCATCACCACCTCACCTTGACCCAAATCCTTTTGATTTCTTCATTCTCTCTCTCTTCTGTGTTCCTCTATCTTTCCCTCCTCCTCAGGTCATAGACGTGGAGCAGAGCTCTGTCTCCTTGATGCCATCTCGGGTTGAAATCTCTCTGGTCAAGGCTGACCCAGGATCCTGGGCCCAGCTGGAACACCCCGATGCACTAGCTGAGAAGGCTAGGGCAGGGATTGTGTTAGAGATGGATGAGGAAGAATCTGAGGATTCAGATGATCTGAGCTGGACAGAGGAGGAGGAAGAGGAGGAAGCGATGGGGGAATAGTGACACCAGACTGTTGAGTGTCTAGGTAGGACCTCAATGACTCCCTTAGAATCCCAGAGACCAGGATATGGTTGGCCATGTGGTGTCGTTGAGCAGCAGAAGGCTGAAACAGGGGAGAACAAAACCTTCCAAACCATTCTGTTTTTTCCCTTAAATAAATCTTGTATTCTGCAGTTTCACATAGTGTCATTTCTCACCTCACTAAGATCGTATTTATTGACCCCGTTTTCTGTGTGTGTTTGACACACATGTGTGAAAACAAGCACATGCACATTCAATCTATTCTTCACAACCACCAGGTATTTACTGAGTACTTCCTATGTGCCCAGTTATGTGTTAGGTGGTCTAGAGATGTCTGAGAAACAGAAGACTTACTCATTTCTCTCAAGAAAAATTATAGTCTGGCTGACAAATCAAGGATAATCCACAATAAATAATAATAAACATTATCAGGTAGTTTAACTGAGAACTAAATTGTGCAGTACAGTTTTTAAGAGCTGTAGGAGTTGAAAAAATGGGAAGGTTATTGTGGACTTTAGTAAAAATGGAAGGTTCCATAGAAGAAGTACATTTTGTTTTATAGCTTTCTTGAGATACAGTTCACATACCACACAATTTATCCATTTAAAGTATGAAGTTCAGTGTTATTTTTAATATAACCTCACGGAGTTGCATAACCGCAATCCATTTAAGGACATTGTTATCACTCCACAAAGAAACCCTGTACCCATTAGCAGTCATTCTCAAATTCCCCCCAAATGCATAGCCCTGGGCAACCACTAATCTACTTTCTGCTATTATGAATTTACCTATTCTACACATTTCACATAAATGTAATCATAGAATATGTGGTCTTTTGTGACTGACTTCTATCACTTAGCATAATATTTTTGAAGTTTGTCCATGTTGTAGCACATATCAGTACTTCACTCGTTTTTATAGCTGAATAATCCATTGTGTGGATATACCACATTTTGTTTATTCATCAGTTGAGGGACATTTGAGTTGTTTCCACCCTTTGGATATTCTGAATAATGCCACCATAAACATTTGTTTTCAAGGTTTTTTTGTTTGTTTGTTTTACTATAGCCATCCCAGTGAGTATGAAGTGAATTCTCAATGTGGTTTTGATTGCATTTCCTAACGGCAAATAATGTTGAGCATCTCACTGGCCATTTGTGTACCTTATTTGGAGAAATGTCTGTTCAAATCCTTTGTCTATGTGTTAATTGGGATATTTGCCTTTTTATTGTTGAGTTGTAAGAGTTCTTTATATATTCTAGAGACAAGTCCCTTGTCAGATATATGATTTACAAATATCTTCTTCCATTTCGTGGGTTGTCTTTCCACTTCCATTGAGTGTCCTTTGATACACAAAAGTTTACTTTTGTTTATTTATTTATTTATTTATTCACTTATTTATTTTTGAGACAGAGTCTCACTCTGTTGCCCTGAGTAGAGTGCTGTGGCATCAGCCTAGCTCACAGCAACCTCAAACTCCTGGGCTCAGGCGATCCTCCTGCCTCAGCCTCCCAAGTAGCTGGGACTACAGACATGCACCACAATGCCCAGCTAATTTTTTCTATATATTTTTAGTTGTCCAGCTAATTTCTTTCTATTTTTAGTAGAGACAGCGTCTCGCTCTTGCTCAGGCTGGTCTTGAACTTCTGAGCTCAAGCAATCCTCCCGCCTCGGCCTCCGAGAGTGCTAGGATTACAGGCATGAGCCACCGCACGCAGTCAAAAAGTTTAATTTTGATGAAGTACAATTTGTCTATTTTTTTCTTTGGTTGCTTATGCTTTTGGTGTCATATCCAAGAAATTATTAACTAATCCAAGATTTGCCCCATGTTTTCTTCTAAGAGTTTTATAGTTTTAGCTTTTACATTTAGGTCTTTGATCTATTTTGAGTTAATTTTTGTATGTGGTGTGGAGTAGGGTACAACCTTATGCTTTTTCATGTGCATGTCCAGTTGTCCTAACACCATTTGTTGAAAAGACTATTCTTTCCCCATTGAATTGTCTTGGTACCCTAGCTGAAAATTAACTGACCATAAATGTGACGGTTAAGAAGTATAGTTGACCCTTGGAACAATGTGGGACTGGGGCATCAAACCCCTGTGCAGTTGAAAAATCCATGTAGAACTTTTGACTCGCCAAAAACTTAAGTACTAACAGCCTACTGTTGACCAGAAGCTTTACTGATAAAATAAACAGTCAACACATATTTCGTATGTTATATGTATTATATGCTGCATTCTTACAATAAAGTAAGCTAGAGAAAAGAAAATGTTATTAAGAAAATCTTAATCTTCCTTATTGAAGAGAAAATATATTTACTATTCATTAAGTGGAAGTGGGTCATTATAAAGGTCTTCATCCTTGTAATCTTCACATTGAGTAGGCTGTGAAGGAGAAAGATGAGGAGGGATTAGTCTTGTTGTCTCATGGGTGGCAGAGGCAGAGAAAATCCACATGTAAGTGGACCCACATAGTTCAAGTGCATGTTGTTCAAGGGTCAACTGTACATTTTGAATGAAAATTTGAAAAATGAGAAATTTGGTTGGGAATGGAAGAGTACGGAGAACCATACTGAGGCAGAGATGTTTTATTTTACTTTTTGTATTTTATCTTAAATTCCCAAAGTAGTACATTGTCACTGTAAAAAAAAATCTTAATGCAGAAGTATGTAGAGTAAAAAGTAAATATTTCTTTTCAGACTCACTCCAAGCTTAGCCCCTTTGCTGTTTGTAACCACTGCTAACATATCTGAGGTTATGTTTAAGGGAGAAGAAGAAAAAGTTAAATGGAGTATGACTAGATTGAGAGGAACCTAAAATTCTAGGTCAAGGATTTTGAACATGATTTAAAAGAGAGTTAAAAAGGCATTATAGGCCGGGCGTGGTGGCTCAAGCCTGTAATCCTAGCTCTCTGGGAGGCCGAGGCGGGCGGATTGTTTGAGCTCAGGAGTTCGAGACCAGCCTGAGCAAGAGCGAGACCCCGTCTCTACTAAAAATAGAAAGAAATTAATTGGACAACTAACAATATATAGAAAAAGCTAGCCAGGCATGGTGGCGCATGCCTGTAGTCCCAGCTACTCGGGAGGCTGAGGCAGGAGGATCGCTTGAGCCCAGGAGTTTGAGGTTGCTGTGAGCTAGGCTGACGCCACGGCACTCTAGCCCGGGCAACACAGTGAGACTCTGTCTCAAAAAAAAAAAAAAAAAAGGCATTATAGGCCTTTTCTTTTTGAGTGTAAATTCTCAGTCGGAGGGCTGATCTCTGTTTTGAGCATCCCTTGAGTCAGATTTATTCCCTCAACAGAGTGAGAGATTCAAACTCCAAGAAACATCGAACAAGGAAGCTCACCAAACCTCAGATAATCTCAAGTGTTTTCATAGTGCCCTTTCCTCTCAGTTGAGATTCAAGGAGCATAGGGTCTCACTGGGGACTTGGAGTCAAATGAGGCGGGGGAATGGACACGAGCAGCGAAGGTGAGGGATTACATCGTAGCATGGCTCGTAATTTGGAAGTTGAGGCAAGATTAGGGGATATCAGGGAACACATCCAAGGATATGACTTCTATCTCACAGATGTTTTATCAGAGGTAAAGGGGCTTCCTGGACCTCCAGAATATTTAGTAATTCTGGCTCTGCTCTATGTTGTCATTCTATGGATTTGAAGTACACATAAACTTTCCCCCTTGAACTGAACCCTTCAGGGTCTTTTTAACCCTGGTGGCAGTTTACTCTTTTTTTTTGTTTTTGTTTTTGAGACAGGGTCTCCCTCTGTCACCTAGGATAGAGTGCAGTGACATCAGCCTAGCTCACAGCAACCTCAAACTCCTGGGCTCAAGCAATCCTCCTGCCTCAGCCTCCCGAGTAGCTGGGACTATAGGCACACACCATCATACCCGGCTAATTTTTCTATTTTTTGTAGAGACAAAGACTCACTATGTTGTTCAGGCTGGTCTCCAACTTCGGGCCTCAAGCGATACTCCCGCCTCGGCCTCCCAGAGTGCTAGGATTACAGGTGTGAGCAACCACGCCTGGCCAAGTTTACTCTTAATATCATTTTTCCGTGAGGGACATGGGCTTTGATGACATTTTTTAAAAATTTGGATAATAAGAGAAAGAACTCCTAAAAATTTTTAGAGGTAAAATGTATATAGAAAGGTACATAAAGTACATGAATCTTAAATTCACAACTTTTTCCTATCGTCTTATCAAAATCAGGAGAGCAGCAACTGTCCAGAAATCCTGAAGAGAACAGAGGTGAGGAATCAAAAAGTTCAAGTAATCCTTATTGTATATACAAAATTTCAAATTCACAGCATTAATAAAGTAGCGTGCTAGTTCATTTTACATAGCCAAAGCCTAAAATGTAAGAAATTTTCAAGCAGGTGTATAACATGAATAACAACTATAGCCATAGCTACTATTTCTGACACAAACTAACTGTGCCAGGCACTAAGCTAAGTGCTTTGTACACATTATCTCATTTAATCGCCTACTTCCCACTGTCAGATTTATTATATATTTGTTCTCATTAGAACAAATCCTCTCCCTACATCCTTTTATGCTTCTCATTTCTTCTCACTGTGTGTTGGATCCTATTCCCTCACACCTTCTCAGAAACTTTATACTATTAATTATCCCTTCTCTCTCCTGTTCATTCAACCTTTCCCTTATTGGGATATTTTTATTGACATTTAGACTGCTCAAGTCTCTCCAATCTTATAAAAACAATGTCTCTTGAGTTTGCATACCTCTCCAGGTACCACTTAACTCCTTTCTCTCCTTTAGAGCCAAACTTGTTAAAATAACTATATTCTCTTTCCTTTTCCTTCTTCCTACTCTTTTTGTAACACACTCTAATCTGACTTCCAACCCCCTCAATCTGTGGTGATATGGTCACCATTGACTACCAAATCACTAAATCCAGTGGATACTTTTAGTCCTCATCTTGACTTCTCAAGCAAAATTTGACACTGATGGCTGGGTGTGGTGGCTCACGCCTGTAATCCCAACACTTTTGGAGTGTGAGGCAGGAGGGTCGATTGAGGCCAGGAGTTCGAGAGCAGCCTGGGCAACATAGCGAGACCCTTTCTCT